GGTGCTTTTTCAGCCGGAGATTTCTCCGCCGGTTTCTTCTCTGCCTTCGGTGCCATTGTCGTTTGATTGGAATGTAAAAAATGAAAAAAATGTGTTTTTGGTTTGTAAAAATATATACGTTTCGTGGGATGATTTTGATTGGATGCTGGTACGTGACGCGGATTGCTTACGTGTCACCTTGTGAAACGTTAGATGAATAATAGTAACAGTTTGTTATACCAATCAATGGTTAGATCTTGAATTGCTGCACTGAAGTCGGGGGGTATATGTGGGCTTTGTTGGGCCTTGAACCATATTTTGATGCGCAATTGTTATCAAACAATACCAGAAAAAAAAAAGGTTTACCAAACAAATTTTTTTTTTTTGAACAAGAATTACCAAACAAATTTGATAACTTAATAAATTTGTTTTTCGTAAGCATTATAAATAGCACAACTATATAAATTTCTTCCTGGTTGATAACTTTAAATTAGGTTTTCGTATGTGTAATTGAGCATTACGATTAAATTAAATGAATTTATCCATATAAAGAGAAAGATCGATCCACTACCACTATTTTAGAATTATAGTTTTTTTTTCCACATCAAAAGTATTTGGTGAAACTGGTACGAGCTGATTGATGGGGTTTTAAGAGCCATATATATAATGTGTATTCTTATTATTTACATTATAGTATAAGTGATTTTATGAGCTTTTGATGATGGAAACTTTGTACCAGCTAATGAGTTTCCAAGAATGAGTTCTTCGACATAAACCGTTACCAAACTTAGTGGTCCCTAAAAGTTTCGAGAATCCAACAAAAGTGTTTCCCAAGATGTGGGGATACTCCTAAGTACATCAAATCTTGTGGAACACATTATATTGGATGGTTTTGATTTTATTGCTTCGATTGAGAACCGATTGGGGATGTAAAAAATACAATATATTTTTATGGGACAATTGGAAAAATGTCATTTTTGGTGTGTACATTTGCAAGAATGCCATTTAGGAGTGTCCATTTACAAAATTACCACTAATTATAGATTTTTAAATGTTAAAATTATTTGACCCCTAAAACCCCTTAAACCTTCAAAACTAAATCCTAATACAATAAAGTTAACTCAAACATAAATGATCTAATGAATTTTTTTTTTTGAAAAAGTAGCACTTTTGCAAAGATTTTGAGAATGTGACATTTTTGAAAAATAGCACTTGAAACATGACATTTTAAAAAAAAATTCTTATATTATATATTAATGACGAAATGGAATGATGGTTAGGGAAATAATTTGTTTATGCAAAACACTACTCATATATAGTAGTTGAATGTTATTTTTCATGGAATTGGATTTTTGATTATAGATATAAATGTGTAATTGCCCAGGATTTTCTATTCATCCAAATACTACATAACCATTTTGCATCGTCTTTGGTCACGTTCTTTTATTCTTCTTCGTCTGAGGATCAAATTACGAGTTCTAGTGATGATAAAGATTACTATATAGATTAACGAATGAGAAATTTCAAAAAATGCCACTTTTCAAGTATCATTTTACAAAAATGCCATATTTTTGAAATCTTTACAAAAATGCCATTTTTTCAAAATTATATTTTTTTTATATTATTTATGTTTGGATAAATTATGTTCTATTATAGTTTAGTTTTGAGTGTTTAGAAGGTTTTAAGTGTCAAAACATTT